CATATCTGTTCCAAACCAAGCGCCTAAAATATTCTCTTGGAAATATGACCCAATATATGTATATGTATCCTAATATATCACTTGTGTGTGATTTTTAATCGGGTACCATGTGCAATGTATGACAGATTTCTTATTTAAACGGTTGTTAGTCTGACAGCGTACGTCGGCATCCATTATTTCTGTTTTATAAAATTAAAAAAAATTAAAAAATAAAGTCACATAAGGCAAAAAGGTATTACATGTTAATACCTGGGCTATATATCTAGGTTATAATCTTTATAAGTAATTTTTAAAACTGAAGTACTGCACATCAAACAGAATGAAAAATGGTTTTAAGCAGGTGAAACTATTGTAGTTTATTGACTAATGTAATAAATCTGTCATAACCCTTAAAACCTTTTGCCCTAAATTTAGCTCAGTCAAGCTTCCCTTCTGACTAACTGATCGTTTTGATGAACTCTGTTGCAAAATTAGATGAAACTTGAGGACCTAAAACCCCAATCTGCCTGCTAAAAAGCACATATTGGAGATAACAAATAATTTATTTTCCCCAAATTTCTAAGTGCAGCCTGGCTGCCCCTCAAAAATCTTTTGCTCTCTGGCTGCCAGGAGATGCTACAGTTGAAGGTCCAGACACAGAGCTACAGTTGCATCAGGCCGGAAAAATGTTCGTCTCAGCGACCATAGGACTGTAATTACATAGAAGCACTGCTGAGCCTTGCAGGATAAACGTCAAGAACAGAGAGATGGGCTGAGGCGAACAAATAGGGAGGCGGAGAAGTGCAGTAAATGGTGGATATTTATAAAGTAACTACTGTCTTTAAATGTTTTCAGTTTGGGAGGAAAAAATGAAAAAGCAGAATCAAAGTAAAACTGAAAGCTGCTGGAAATGTTTTATTTAGGTAGTAGACCTTAAGAGACCTGGTGAGTTGGATCAATATGTTTGGTTTCAGTTCCTTTTAACTTTGTTATGCATTTTAGGCTGTTCCAAAATCTCTGACAGAGCTAGCATGGTATGACTGACCCCTTGTGGAGCTAAAGGTTAGTGTCCAGAATAACAATATGGATGCAGTTGTACAAAAAATTAGTTTGTTTCCCTTCCATGTTAGTTTACTATTTTTTAAACACTAACATTTATCCTTTTTAAACTGTATGTGCATTTTTATCAAGAGAATGTTCCCCCTTGTGAGAAACTTGCTTTTCTGCCCTACAGCTCAACTTGAAACAATCAGATTAATTGCAATTAATGGAATATTGAAAAAACCGTCAACTAATTTAATAATCAATTAATCATTGACTGGAGTATATAGACTCTTAGGGATGAAATTTTCCTAAATTGTAAAAAATATATTAACGTTTTGCATATAAGATTAAACACAAATTGTATATCAATATGCTCTATAGCAGGGGTCTTCAAGGTTTTCCAGGCCAAGGACCCCCAAACTGAGGGCGAGATGGAGCGGGACCCCTAATTATACATATTGTATGAAATTGCTTTATATCAAACTGCTCCTATAGTCACTTTATTACAGATGAAGTAATGTGACAAAAGTTATTTCTCCCTGGGATTATAAAAGTATTTCTGATTCTGATTCCTGGTTGATGGGACATGGTGTTGTGAATGAAACGGTGCCCAGCTTAAAAGAGCTCCTGTGTGTCGCTGAATGTGTGCATTGATGACTGAAAGACATCTTCTGCCTCCATTTATCTGTTTACATCAGTGTGTTGAATTCATGTTAATATATATTTAAAGACATTTCAATTAGTGGAAAAAACTTTCACGACCCCCATGCAGTACCTCTGCGGACCCCTTAGGGGTCGCGGACCCCCTGTTGAAGACCTCTGCTCTATAGAGAACTCCTTAACCTTAAAAGTTTGAGTTTCACCTGATTTAATTTCATAAAAAGTCTTCTTTAAAGACGGGATATTATTGAAAAAATAATCAACAGATTTGCAAAAATCTTAATCGTTAAAAAATCTTCAGTTGTAGCTCTAATATATATCTTGTGTCTACTTGTTCCCCCTCTGCAGCGGAATAAAGGTACAAAAACTCATCAGGTTTGCTGTTTTTTTTTTGCTTTCTTGTCACATTTAAAATGTATAATCTGGCGATGAAGACCAAACTAAACCGTCCCTATTTAAAACGTGATCACTGCTTTTAAAAATAAAAATTGAAACCATATTTTAAAGAATTCTGCATTCAAAATAAACAGGCCTGATTAATGCCTGACCTGTAAAATCAATCGCGTGACATTGTTTGCTAAATAAGATAATTCAAAACAATCAATCATGTCCCAAACTAAAGAACAGATGACATCAGTGTGGAAAGGCCTAGAAATATTTAACACTTCTAGGAAATCACAGAGAGCCTTTATCCACAAATGGAGGACAAACAGAGCGACTAGCCAATTAAGAACACATTGACTTACTGGATTTAACAAAATAACTAACATCTCAAGCACTGCAGACCTCACTTTCATCAGTTAACCTCACCGTTTCTGATGGAACAATAAGAAAGAGGTTGGAACAGAGAAGCATCCATGAGAGTTAACTACAGTTCAGTCTAGTTTAGGGGAAGGCATCATCTGTTCTAGAGTGTCACCATCACACAGCTGTTGCGTGCGTCTCTGCTCCAACACACCTTAAAAAAAAAGTCTAAATTACCTCCTCCGCATGTTAGCAGGTTTTACAGATGCCTGGCAGTTAACAGTTTTTGGTGTTTTGGAGCACAGATATAAAGCTGCCAGATGGTGGCAGTGTGATGGTCTGGGAATACTTAACGGCTTCAGGACTTGGATGAATTTTCTCTGGCAGGAATTCTTGAAGAAAGTCCAGCTATTAGTTTATATCTCAACCCAAAACAGTTTTTTTCTTCTTATAAAACGTGTTCATGGATGTCTTGTAGTCCTGTCGATATGCATATTTGTTGCAATTCTTGTTTGTGTCTTAAATTCTCTTTGGCACCCTCTTCAGGTTTAAAAAGGTTACAGACGCTAGTTTTAACAGTTTGATCTACATAAACTCCGAAATGGTCCGAATCCTGAGGAAGCTCAGAAGAGCAGGCGGCTTTAAACAGTGTGGAATTAAACAGGCTGCTCATTATGAAAGATATTACATGCTGCTGAAGAAGAGGACGCAAAGACTCCTCCAGAGGAATAGTTAAGTTTAGAAAAGAGCAGTTACTTTTTTATGCAGGGTCAGGTCACTGATCTCTAGCTATTCTCTGAATTGCTGATGGAGCAAAAAAACTGAAGTCACCTGCCACCATCTTGGTTTTTCCCCACTTTCACAGTCGTGCCATAAAAATGCCTGTAATGTAATTACTATAACAATGTAATCAATATATGTATATTACATATACATCATCAATTTAGTATTTTTGGCACATCATCAGATTGTGTGTGTGTGTAATATTCTTAATGTCTTGCTTCAGTATTATTATGCTCCATTAACACACATATTTAGTTGTGATGGATTTGTATATGCTGTATTACATGATTTATAGATATGCTGATGAAGATTCTCAGTCATCCAGGTCATAGTCATTCCGTAAAAGTTCAAAAAAATATCCACTGGACTTGGTTTCCAAGATTTGAAATCTTGGAAAATTAAAATTCTTGGAAAATTAAAAATCTTGGAAACCAAGTCCAGTGGATATTTTAACTTTTACGGGATGATTTATAGACTTCATGGACTTCAAACTGACCATGCAATGCGATGTACCTATTTTGGAAAGGTGTGTCTGTGTCAAAGTGATGACTTTATCTTTGTTTTACAATTCTTAAGCCCCTGAAAATGTGAACATTATCTTCTTCGATGCTGTAGCGCACATATTTTTTACATTCTGACCGGTCTAACTAGTAGGGGTGGGTATTTGCAAAGAAGTCATGATTCGATTTGAATCACATGCCACGATGCGATTCTATCATGATGCATCATACTACTTGAAATATTGCGATGCATTGCGATCTTTTCACTGAACACTGCAAGAAAAAGATACAGCCCTTACCAGTGGCTGACTGGCTGGGTATGATCTGGATTGTGTCTTTAATTGATACATAACTGAAAGCAACTGAATTCATACTTAGCTGTATTTATTGAAATTACTTTTGGAGGTGTTGCCATGAAAACAAATACTGGACAGAAATATTACTACTACTGGCGTGGACAGACTGACAAAAAGATCTTAGGATTCATCAAACTTGAAAGACCAAAATAAGGATAATCAGTGCCATTTACATGGCCTCAGTGGTCCTTTAAACCAATTAAATGAAAACATTCAAATGTATATTTTCCCTTTTGCAAATGACGTGTGTCTTATCAATTAAATTTTTTACTTCTTTGTTTTTAAAGCCTAAATGCGTCCAAGCATCTGACTTGAAATGTTATGGAGCCGCGGGGCGAATTTTCATAGCGTCCTCCATGTTTTATTTCATATGACTCGTCTCAGTATCCCGCGGCCTGACATGCTTGTGACGCAAAGCAGCGGGCGTCAACACATCCGCAGCGACATCTGCTGGACTGGAAGTTGTATTCCACTTAATTTGGCTGATGTGCGCCAACCACTAATGTATTTTATTTGTTCATTTTTTTTATTTTTATAATCTATTATTGCCTTCAAGAATCGATGCAGTAGATCACAAAAATTTGAATCGCGATGCATCAATATGACGATTATTTTGCACACCCTTACTAACTAGGGAGTACCAATATGGCGGCTGGTGACTTCATAACAACTGGCAATCCAGTGAATAGAGATCAGTGGGTCAGGTTGGTTTGGATTTTGTTTTTTTAAACAAAGGCAAACTAAATTTCTTATTCACTTAGCTTATCTAAATGATAGATTATGTGTTGATAACCGGAGGATGTGACTTCAAAACAAAAAATGCAGAAATCCTTAATTATTTGCAGAAATAGGCTCAGATATTCTGTCGGTCAAAAATAAAAAATACAGAATTTATGTTGAAAATAGAAAATGAAAATACCACAATCATTTCAAATTTCAATGTTTTTTTTATTATTTGTACATTCACCACTGATAGGCGTACTTAAAGAATTAAAAACAAAATGAAATCTTTGTACTAAAATGATAAAATAACGATTTAAAAAACAAAATTAAAACCATTGGTGGGAAACGTATAATGCACTCTCCTCTCTGGTGGGTGGGTGGGTGGGGTGGGGGGGACCTGTGTTGACAGGTCAGGTTAAGAGAACCGGATTGAGGAGAGAAAGATGAAAGCAGGATCAACAAGGACAAAATGAAAACTCGAGTTAGTTGTGACATATTCTCTCCCACAGAGAACTTTCTCATCTCTTAACAGAGAAACAGGAACACTGCATTGTCTTAGTAGTTTTTACAATAAGTGAAAAATAATCCAGAGCTGCCTCATTTAAAGACTTGATTTTGCAGATATTTTAAGTCTGTACAAAATGCCAAACATGGATTTCTATATTTTTTTTTTTATTCCTGCAAGCCTCTGCGCAGACAAATAAATTTTCTCTTTAGGCAGGACTGGCAGAAGTAGCTTAGTACTACATGCAGCAACAAAAGAGGTTCTCAGCACATCGCAGGATGCTCACCTCCCAGAGGAGTCAACCACTGCTAAAAATTATGATCAGCATCTACACTTTGAAGAGAAAGTGGATTTTGTAGTAGTTTTAAACTGTCCAGTGTGCCTTTCTGCTACGCAATCAGAACAAAAACTGAAAGAGAAGACGGGAAAAGGCATGAAGAAAATGGCTGGGACACTCTGGAAAACAACACTGCAATCATCGTGTTCTCCGTACGCAATACGGTGGGCACAGATGTGCTTTAAAAAATAAGGGGTAGGGGCCTTTATGAGAGATGGAAATGACATCAGTTGGTCCTCTGTTGGGTCTTTGTTGTAACAAAGTACATGTAGTGAAAGGCAAAATGCAGGAGGATGGACTCCATGACAGTTCCATCAGCGCCTCCTTTCTCTTGGTTCGCTCCGGCTGCGGGAGCGCCGGCTGGATCCCGCTCCGCTGCCCCCTGGCCTACGGTACCCTTCCCTGCGTTTGTCGTTCTCCCTGTTCCTGTCTCTGTCCCTTTCCCTGTCTCTACCCCGGTCTCTGTCCCTCTCCCGGCCCTTGTCCTTCTCACCCTCACTCCGGTTTTCTGCCGAGGCGGCGGCTGCTTTCGTTCTCTCCTTGCGCTCCTCCTCCCTTTTCTTCTCCTCCTCCTCTTCTTCCTGTTTTCTTCTCTTCTCGCGTTCTTTCCTCCGCTCCTCGCGCTCTTTCGTCTCTTTTGCTCGGGCAGCTTCTCGCTGCACAAACTAAATTAAGGAAACAAAGAAACATTTAGGTGTGTATCTCAGCACAACTGTGCAACAAACCAGTGACTTTCAAAGGTATTGACACCAATCTTTTAAATACTCCTGCAGGCACTTGCATGAGTTTTGGTACCAGCATACCATCACTTTAAGAAAAATATTTTTAAAAAGCTCTGGGTTTTTAATGGGGGGGGGGGGGTCTATTTTACTTCCTTTTAAACATATCAGGTAGATCTTCAGCCTACAAAACATCACTTCCTCAGCTCAGCCTATTTGAAGCTCCTTGTAGAATGAATCCTTTTAAGGTCTGAGTTCTGTGTTTTTACAAAGTGCTGGTTTGGGTAAAATACTTCTAATTAGCATTTTGGCTCATTTTAGATAAGAAGAATATGACAAAAAAAAACAAACAAAAAAACAACTAAATACTTAAAGCTCCAGCATCCTGATAGAATTTTAGTTTTATCATGCTGGCTGTTAGTCGTCTGTCCTGTCAGCTGTAGTTCAGTGTTTGTGAAAGGCAGGTGTTCATTCCAATAATAAATAGTAATGCATTATATTTTTGCATGTATGCTACCGATTTTTTTTTTGCTTAGGGAACTAGGTGAGGGGCAGTGCAGATCTTGATTCCATAATCCTAACATGAAAAAAAGAAAATGTTTTCTAGACAACAACAAAACATGTACTTATTAGCCCCTTTTCCACTGCCGCTCAAAAGCTAATTAAGCTTTTTCATACGGAATCACCCAACTAATTTGCGTTACCCGTGCTTTCCTTTCAGGGGGCTTTAGTCGTTTTGTATACACTCTGTTTATACAAAATGACAATAAAATTTGTCCAAGTCCCTCGAGCAATCCAGTAGTTTGCTCTGATTAATGAGTCATGCAAGGATGTGCCCATCCTGCCATCTTTTAAAAGGTGTTTTTTTATACCGCCAACACACACACAGCTTTTGCAGTTGTGTTCTTTACCACTGTCTAATTTCTTAAATACATGATGAAGCAGAAGAGTAGAAGCAATGACTGTAGGACGGATATTGAGCTTCAGGCTCTTTTAAGCGTTTTTGCTGATGAGGTCATTTAGCAGGAGTTTGAGTCGGCGATGCGCAATGAACGCATCTACGCCACTTGAGCCAGACCGTCTGAAATAAACGTTCTGCACACCACAAAACAGGTGTGCGAAAAACTCAAGAAAATGAACAGAACTACATGAGGCTGAAGGACCACAACATCCTCAGCGGATCAGACATGGTATGACCAGCTCGATGTGCTCCTATGAAACAGACCCATGTACACGCTCAAACATGTGGTCTTTATGTTTTTTTGGCAACCATTTTGCTATGGGGATTAGCATGATTGTCCCGAGCACTTTCAGAGTTATGAAAAAAAGCGAGATGATAAATTAATCGAGATTTCAATTAGCCAGGTTATAAAAAGCCCGGGGTTTTCAATGGAAAAGAGGAACTTGCTTAAAAAAAAAAAGTAGAGGCGTAAATGGAAGAAAATAACACGTAAAAAGGTCCTGTTTAAATAGCTGAGTAGAAGTCGGTGAGCGGTTTTGTCCTCACCTGTTCCTCTGTGAGAGGAAGCCAGTAAATGCAGGGAACGGCTTTAGTTTTGCGGAACAGGTCATCCAGCAGCTTTGCGGGGGGATCTTCGGCTGTTCCAAGAGAAAGACAAAATCATTTAACAAGAATGCTTTATTGAATACACTGCATGCAGATTTAAATCTAGCTGAGGGTTGGACAGTAAAAGATTCTGTCCTTACATTCATTGATTGACAGAGAAAAGTCGTCAAAATTAAGTAAAACTCAGAGATTAAATGTAATCTTTTTTTTTATTAATGGATATATCCAAAGAGAGATTGCAAAAGAAAAAAATAAGCATCCTTCAGAAGCAGATTGAGCATGCTTTAGTTACCTCATCTGCTTTAAATATACACCCAGTCATACTCCTCAATCTGCCTTCACAAAACTCTAAGCTAGAACAACTATATCAGTATCCTTTCACAGAAGCAGTTTGTTATTCTCTGCTTCTGCAGGTCAGACCAGCAGCTGAAGGAACTGTGTCTAATTTCAAGGCTGAATTCTTCCCCTCAAAATTGTATCAGAGTAGCGCGCTTCTTATAAAATTCAAAGTTTAGCAATTATTCTCAACAATAACACATTTGAAAGATACTTTGCAAAACAGTTATGATTACATATTTGTGATTCATTATGAACTATTATTGTTTTCCCAAAGTATCCTGTGTGATGTCCAGCTTTTACCTTTCTTTTCCATCTTCTTCTCCTTGCTCTTTGCCCTCTCCTTTCGCCGTCTCTCTCTGGATTGTGACCTTCGTGAGCCTCCCTCCTTCTCACCTTCGGTTTTCCCAAACTCGTTAACCTTATCTCGATCCCACTCCCGCTCTGCTCGGGCGCGCTCCCTGCGCTCCATCTCACGCTCGCGCTCGGCCCACTGGTCCCGCTCGGGGAGGAGAGGCGGCGGACCTGATGTTCGTCCACGCACTGGGGCAGGTCCTGTGTCCTCTCCTCCAGGTCTGTCCACGGCCATCGAGGGGTTTCTCTGGTGGTCCAACTAAAAAAAGCAGATTGACACCATGCAGTGACCAATAACAAAGATGTCATGGTTTCAAACAAAAACATAAATGAACCGGCACATACCTCCTCCTGCTGGCAGAAGTCTACTCTAAGAAACTTTGGGTTGCTCTGAGGCCATTTCACTCCGTGAAGAGCTGCCTGTGTAGCGACTGCCTCTTCAATAGTAGAGTACTACAAAAAGAAAGATTTAGATAGCAAAACTTTCATTGATCATCACTATAAACATAATCATGGACAAAAGAAACTAACATAACTAATAACTTACAGTAACATAGCAGTGGGATTTGATTTTATTTATCCAGAAGCCATCCTCCACCAGGGTGCCAGTTCTGCTTAGCAGTTCCTTCAGCTGTCCCAGTGTGAACGGCCTTACCTGAACAAAACATCACAACTCGATTATGGACAGCAGGAAACAAGAGGAAAAATACAACAATATGCAAAAAAAAAAAACTGTTGCTAAACACCATTGTTGGTGTATCTATGCATTTCTTGGCTGAGTAAACAAACATTCAAAGAAGCAAACGGTTATTTATAAAAACAACAGAGGGGGTGCTTCACCGGTAATCCTCCTGAGTGAAACATGCAGAGAATGGAACATGCTTTCTGGTCAGAGTAACTACCAAACAGGAAAGCTTCAGATTATAGATCCATTTATATTAGAAAAAGTTGCAAAGAAAGTTGAATCCTATTAAAAGTATGATTTTACTCCCAAAAGAAACTCCTAATTTCCCTAAGATCCCTTTAAACCTCCGTTTGCCATCTGAACCTAATTTAGCTCATAGACCTTAGGTCCAGTTAAAAGCCTGCAGAAGATTTTTTCCAATAAGTTTGGTTTGATTTACTTATTCAAAAAACAGTAGTTTAAAATGAAAATATTAATCAATGGGAATTCTAAGTAGAGATAATTAATTGTTTAAAAATAAATTATTTTCAGTTATTTTTCCATATTTACCTAAAACTGAACCATAATCTAACTTCATACATATCAGGACTTCACAGACCCGCTGATTTCTTCATTATGACACAGCAGACCAATATCACCCAGATGTTCTCACCAGGTTCCAGATGTGAACAATGTTGGAGGCTTGGCCTCGCGGTGGTGATGGCTGCGTCGCTGTGCGGACAGGGTCATCGATAGTGATGGAGACACCTGTTTTCTGCTGGCTGATGGAGCGTCGAATGAGGGTGTCGCTGGGTGTCACTAGTATTTTTTTTAAAAGACAGAGAAACTTTAGGTGACAATTATTTAAAAAAGTTAACTTTAATATTTAAGATTAATAAAACAGTAAACAAAATCCCTGCGTTCAACTTTAGAAAATGGTTTGTCAAACCTTTTTTATTATTACATTTATCCAAACAGTGTAAAAATCAAACTATGAAGTTATGATTATTGATTTCAGGCCCATTGCTGTGACCATATTACCAGTGTTGTTTTCGGTATCTTGGCTTGGTAGTGTTGGTGACTGAGTTTCTACAGCTGCTGGGAGAGAGGTGTCCATCTGCTCCTCATGGGCTGTGATACTTCCCCCTTCTACCTGAGAATCATCTTCCTCAAAGTCTTCCCGCCTTATTCTCTTTGCTTCTTTTTGGCCATTTTCTTGGCTTTCAGCAGGCACCACCTGCAAAGAGAAGAGTAGGTGAAGGTTTGAATGGCAAAACAAAGGGATTTAATACTACTCCCCCCTTTAAATGAGCATCTAAGGAGTGTGATCTTGATGATCTGACAGCACAGATCATGTTTTGGGGTGTACTTTCTCACTTAAAAAACATTAAAACTATTTTTGACCAACTTATCACCCCAAGTATAGCAAAGCCACTCTCCCATTGAAGACAGGAGCAGCAGAAGCATCAGATGAATCTCTACAGATGATACTGGATGTGTCTCAAGAGCATCTTCAAAACTTTATGTGCAGAAGCATCAAAGATGAAGCAGCAGATGCTTCTTTGCTGCTCAAATTGCATGAACCTAGCATAAAAGCAGCAGGATCACCTGTGTGACGGTGCGTCGGATCTGAAGGTCCTGGTCAGAGCGCTCCCGCTCTTCCTCCTCGGTACCGGACAGAACAGCTTCCTCAAGATGAAGATCTACAACAGCATCCTGGCCGACAGGCGGCCTGATGTCAGGAATCAGGGACTAGAATGAGGAAAGAAAAAAAAATAAAAATAAAAGGAGAAACACAGGAACTGGTGTTTAGTTTCTGAGCACAGAGGCAACATTTGGAACAGTAGAACGTTTGTAGCTACAGTTTCTATTTTTAAAACATTTAATATTCTTTAGTGGGACTTCATGATGGGCTGTAATGTGGCACAGTTTGTAGCACTGTTGCCTAGCAGCAAGAAGGTTCTGGGTTCTATTCCCGGCCCAGGATCTTTCTGCATGGAGTATGAATGTTTTCTTTGTGCATGCATGGGTTCTCTCCAGTTACTCCTGCTTCCTCTCAGTCTAAAAACATGTTAGGTTAATTGTCTTATATAAATTTCCTTAGCTGTGAGTGTGTGTGTGTGGTTATATGTCTTTGTGTGTCTCCATGTTGCCCTGTGAAAGACTGGTCACCTCTACAGGGTGTACCCTGCTTCTCACCCATAGACTGCCGGACATAAGCACTGGCTCCACTGTGACCCTAACGGAATACGTGGGAGGAGATGAATGGATGGATGGGACTTCATGATGTAGTAATTGTAAAATTATTTGAAGCAATACCTGGTGCTTTTACTACCAGTACCCCTTTTGCTAATTGAAAGACGGATAAGTGTTTAGGGGTATGTCTCTAATAGCTGTTAACATCTAGAGCCTAAAAAGTCCAAAGTCCTAAAAAGAAGTCCCAGCTCAGTACTTAAAGCCACCGACTGTGTTTATTCCAGATATTACCTTTAATGTAGCTCCATCCATCTTTGAATCTCTTCCTCTCAGCTTCCCCGTCTCCAGCCATCCCCTTATTATTATGCTGCCACTACCATGTTTTAAACTACTTTTTAAATATATATCACTATAATGTTTTGATTTAGACCAATAAATGGGCCAAAAGTCTCACAGCTATCTTCTGACTAACCTCCCGTGTTTCAAAAGTTAACAACTAGCCTCCAGCCTGTAAAACATTCAGCCTGAACTGTGAATCTCTGCAGTTTTGGTTTCCATGATGCTGCTTCATCAACAATGTTCCCTAACAAACCTCTGAGGCCTTTAAAAAACAGATGAATTTATGCATAGATTATATTATCCATAGGTGTAAAAGAAAAAAAAGAAAGAAAGAAAAGCATGAGTCTTCTACCTTACACTTATTTGCTTTGTGTTGGACACATATTATGTAATAAACGTTTGCAGTTCAAATTGACAAAACAAGAAAAAGTTAAAAGGCAAATGGGAACTTTTACAATTATTCATAGAAGTTTTCAAAAAAAATCTACTGGTCAGGATAAAGTATATTAAAAAGTAATTTGTATCTTAAGCTGGTGTAAATACCTTGAGTGACTCGGTGGTGATACTAATGGAGGGTTTTTTGGCAGTGACGGCTGTGCTGGAGCCCCACCTCCTCTTGCGACCTGCCCCGGCCCCAGACTCGTGCTCGGCCTCCGTGCTGCCTGGTGACGGCTTACTGCCTGGTAATTCCAAGCATACAGAATCAATACATTTGATACTGAACCTATTGCTGTTTGAAGAGGAAGAGCTTAAACATTCAGGAATGTACTTACTGCTAAGAGAGATCTTTCGTGAGGAGAAAGCCTTTGGTATCTGAAAAAACATGAACAATTTGGAAAGATAAAAATCAGTCCAGAGTAAGTGGAGGGCAGCTGAAAGCTACAAAACTGAAAGAAATGCTGCAAACTGATGGACATCTGTTTCTTTAAAAACTCAATAGACAATAAACAGAAGCTAAAAGTTTCCATTTACAAGACCAGTGATTCATTACCAATGTGTCTGAACAGCAGTTTTTTTTAAAAAGTTTATCAATGATTCAGAAGAACTGTTTTTACATCTGAGTCTCTCACCAACATTATAAAAACATTTATAGAAAGAGCCACTTGATATTTCTAGGGAAACGTTACAGTCCAAGCACCGCTGCATGTTTTGTACGAAAGCAACGAGGGTCCAATCACTGGGTGGTGACATGATCGGACTAAGCTCTAAGAGCAATAGCCAGATGTTTTGGCTCAAGGCGCTGAAATGAGTTTTGGCACGAGTCCTTTAGAGATTTCACACTCTAACCAAAAAGACGAAAGAAAGAACCTATAAGATCAAAACCAGACACGTTTTTAACAGTCACTCTGCTCTTGAATCCACAAGATTGAGTTAAATGGTGTCTGCAGCCACATAAAAAAGCAGGTCTCTCTTTAGTCCACATGAAGAAAACATAACTCGAGCTTCATGCAATCTAGAGAAACATTAACTGTAGTTTTAAAGATTAATCTAAATTCTTGTGTCCCATTAAGCAGGTAGCGGTTCATAAAACAGAGTCTGCTGCAAAACTGTCTTAAAGAGACATTGTTGCCTGTGTTTGTTAGACAGACAGTAAAATCAAAGGGCCAAAAATAAAACTGTAACCATCATGAGGCTACAACCCACCTTCTTTAACTACAAGATCAGCCAAGTTATCTGACCGCTGCTGATACGCTTAAAATAACCAACACTGGCCAACACAGCATTAATGCAGATATGCAGTGCGTCACTATTCAGAAGCATTGTATTGATATAAATAAATCAATGAATTAAACAGATTAATTTAAAAACTATATTAACGACAGAGAAATCCAAACCCATAATTTATTGAGGCTTTATATTGGTACATGTCTTTTCCATCCAACATAGTTTAGGACTTATCTGGCAGCTTACCTCCTCACTGGACTCTGAATGCTTCTCTGGATCTGTAGTGGGAGCCTCTGTCTCCTGCCTATGTAGGATTAAAAACACAACTCCAATGTTTACCATGTAGATACTTGTGGATTTGTTTATAACTTTCTACATTAACCACATCCAACATGTAAAAATGATTTAAGTCTAGAACTATAATTATATCCACTCCTTTCCAGACCTAAAAAAAAATGTAAAGGTGCATCAGCTGGTTGTATCTGATTCACCTAAAAGCAACCAGTGTTACAGATCAAGGTTGCACAGATAAACATCAACGTCAATGTGGAAACAACTAATGTGATGTTTAGGAACACCAAAGCAGCAAAACAGACCCCTCGGGTTCTTTTTCTTCTTCTTTCTCGCTGTGTTTTCTCTTCCTGTTTGCTTCCTCTTTTCTTGTTTCCTCAGCCGCTTGTTTCTGGTCATCAAAAAAAGGAAAAAAAATTAAAAACAGGAAAACAGTTGCAAATTGAAAGTTTAAGCCTCCTAAATGAGAATGTTAAATGTTTCAACCTGATTCAAGATGCGTGACAGAAAGCCATTTCAAATTATAAATCAAATTATTGGCATAAAATATGCAAATGTTTTAAAGCCAATAAGATATTAATAAAAATACAAATAAGACTTTGGTATTTTTCTTGTATTTCAAGCCTATAACACAATGAGCACTTTTGGAAGTGGTTGGGCTCTCAAGCTATACAAAATAAATATAATTTATATTTATATATATATATATATATATATATATAACTGGACATAAGTTAGACATGGTTGGCTTAAAAAAGTAACAAGGCAGAAACCTGACACATTCAAAAGAAAAAATTAACGTTTTAAAACAAAATTAGTTTTTTAACTCACTAGAAAGACGTAAGGAAAAGAACAAACTAAACTGTAATTTAAACCAAATTCTGGAAATCCCATTTAATACACCCAATAAAGAAAACAATCAGATCAATTTCAAGTCAATAGAATGAAAAAAAAAAAGTGTTTTCTGTGTTTTTTGTTATCTACATTGTGGATAAATCATACTATAATTCACTGACCATAGTGTGAACATCTCCATCTGCAGTATTCATTCTGTCAACAGGCAGTTCTTTTTTATTAAGGCAGGCTTTGGGGCTTGCTTCTGAATTCTCAGACTGAGACTCTGTAGCCTCCACAGGTAGTCCTGATAAACCTCTTTCATCTTTCTCCGCCTGTAATAAAAAGTAAAAACAATGAATAAAAATTCTCATAAAATTGACAAAATAGAACTTTTTCCTTTTTGAATTGGTACACAAAGCTGTAAAAAAAAAAAGCTCTTAAACATCTTAGAAACTTCATCAGTGTTTTGTGTTTTTATTCACTTATATGACGGGGTTAATAAATGGTGACGTTATGGCTGCCCAAGCAAACTTCCCCCCAAACCCAATTCATGACTCATCCAGAGGTCAAGAAGAACACAGAACCCTTTCTACAGTTAAAGTTAAATCGAACATTCATAAAGCTGACAAATGCACCCCACACCTGAATTTTCTTTTTAATGGGAGTTGTAATGGCCTTAATATGATTCCAAAAAAGCTAAAAAACAATCCACTGGAGTATATTTCCAAGTTTGAAGACGTTTCACTTCCCACCCAGGAAGCTTTTTCGATTCAAAATGTCAAAATAGCATCAAATTCGAGGCTTTATGGAGTGGACCAAAAACAAAGCCTTTTTGGAATGTGGACATTCCAATTTTTTGACCAAAAAAAAAAATCCCATTACAGCAACTTCCATATGTGGTACTAAATCACCCAGTCCAATGGAGCAGCAGCATTTGCCATCTAGCATCTACAAACATGCAACATATGGTGCAGACACACATTTTTTCACAGTGATTGATTTGGTATTTTTTTAAGCTACTGTTAAGCCTCCATTACACAGGGTAGAGAAAAGTGTCTAGACTTTCAAACAATGGCGCAAATGGTGATAATGCTTAACCAGCCTATAAATAAGAAGAGATTCTACCTGCTTTGACTGTTTCAACTTAACATGGTGGACCTTACGCTCAAAGATTTAGTCACACTGCTGTATTTAATGTAAAAATCCAACCATCGATGCTACTGCCCCTGGGTCCACCGTATCCTCCAAATGTGCTCCCAATTCGAAAGCCAAGGAACTACAACTGGACCACAGTACTACTAGCTGACCAGGACCAGAAAACTGTAATTCCGCTTTAGGGACATATCCCCCAGATATCAGCGGTAGGGCAAGGATGCACTCAGGGGCTCAGAGAGGAGGAGCAGGAGTGCAGAACAAAAGGCTGGGCAGAGAGAACACCAGAGCAGAGCAGAGCAGAGAAGGTAGCAGGACTGGAATAGCTCTACAATAGTAGGATGCATTGCTGCAATGCCATTTACGCAGACAGAACTAGGGTTCTACATCATTTCAATGCTCTGTGCATTGATCAGGTTAGATAAAAGGCAATCACCCCAGGTTAAAACAGATTACTCTTTCTATATCAGTATTGATATCCAGCCTGATTTCTTATCTTTTTCAATTTCTTTAATTTAGATTTAACACATTTTTCTAAGTATCCCCTTAATTATTTTGAGCAGTATAAATTTCAAATACATAATTTAAAATTAAAAAATTAGATAAAAAGTTGGAATTTGGAGGGCTTACCGGTCTACTCCTTGAGGTGGAGACTGGTTGGTCTTGAGAAGATGACGATGAACCAGATGACCGTGATGATGAGGAATCAGAATCTGAGGAAGAGGAATCATCCGATAAAGATCTCCGTCGTACTTTTTTTCCTTCTTTATTTGCTTCTCTGTCCTGCTTTCCTTCAGGGATTGAAGAATCTATGCTTTGATCTTCTGCCTCAACAGGCTCTGCAGTCTTTGGCAATGTAGCCTCTTCTCTCGCCATCATGGGCCTTTCTTCTTTAGGATCTGAGTGAGCTGCAGTTGGGTTGGCGTTCAGGCTGTCAGAACCAGTCCTTGTAGATGCTACGGGTGCAGTGCTAACATCTTGGTTGGAATGAATTTGTGCGTCTTCTTGGTCAGTTGATGGCAAGTGTTCTCCTGGCTGACGTTCCCCAGCGCTTGTAGGTAAGGTGGCAAGAGGGGCTCGAGGCTGGGGGGTATCAGAAAATGTACGAGGCCGCTTAATAACAATCGAGGTTGAACCGGACTGAGGTCGTACTGGAGAGTCCCTGAAAAGGCGAGACTTCTTAAATGATGATTGTGGAGAGACAGTTGTGGAAATAGACTTAGCTGGTTGAGCTTCAGTCTGTGCCAAAGAAGTACGGACATTTTGCTGCTCTGGGGCAGCCTGGGTACTGACACCCAGCTTAGAGCCACTTCTAGGAGGAGAAACACTACCCCCTCTCTCTTTCTCTTGTTCCATTGCCTTGTCCTGCATTTCTTGCTCTAGAGCCCTCTCTTTTTCTACTTTTTCTTTCTGTAAAGCCTGTTCTCTCTCTCGTTTAAGAGCTTTCTCCCTCTCCACTCTTTCCTTTTCCAAGCATTCTTGCTCAAGAGCTTTCTCTCTCTCTATCCTTTCCTTTTCAAAGCGTTCTTGCTCAAGAGCTTTCTCCCTTTCTATCCTTTCCTTTTCCAAACGTTCCTGCTCAAGAGCTTTCTCTCTCTCTATCCTTTCCTTTTCCAATCGTTCATGCTCAAGAACTTTCTCTCTCTCAATCCTTTCCTTTTCCACCCTCTCCTGTTCAAGAGCTTTCTCTTTCTCTATCCTTTCCTTTTCTAATCGTTCCTGCTCAAGAACTTTCTCTCTCTCAATCCTTTCCTTTTCCAACCTCTCCTGTTCAAGAGCTTTCTCTTTCTCTATCCTTTCCTTTTCTAATCGTTCCTGCTCAAGAACTTTCTCTCTCTCAATCCTTTCCTTTTCCAACCTTTCCTGTTCAAGAGCTTTCTCTCTCTCTATCCTTTCCTTTTCTAATCGTTCCTGCTCCAGTGCTTTCTCTCTCTCTATCCTTTCCTTTTCTAATCGTTCCTGCTCAAGAACTTTCTCTCTCTCAATCCTTTCCTTTTCCAACCTCTCCTGTTCAAGAGCTTTCTCTCTCTCTATCCTTTCCTTTTCTAATCGTTCCTGCTCCAGTGCTTTCTCTCTCTCTATCCTTTCCTTTTCTAATCGTTCCTGCTCCAGTGCTTTCTCTCTCTCTATCCTTTCCTTTTCCAACCTTTCCTGTTCAAGGGCTTTCTCTCTCTCTATCCTTTCCTTTTCTAATCTTTCCTTCTCAAGAGCTTTCTCTCTCTCAATCCTTTCCTTTTCTAATCGTTCCTGCTCAAGAGCTTTCTCTCTCTGTATCCTTTCCTTTTCCAATCGTTCCTGCTCCAGTGCTTTCTCTCGCTCTCTCTTTTCCTTTTCTAATCTTTCCTTCTCAAGAGCTTTCTCCCTCTCAATACGTTCCTTTTCCATTCTTTCTTGCTCAAGAGCTTTCTCTCTCTCTATCCTTTCCTTTTCCAATCGTTCCTGCTCCAGTGCCTTCTGCCTCTCTATCCTTTCCTTTTCCAATCGTTCCTGCTCAAGAGCTTTCTCTCTCTCAAGCCTTTCCTTCTCCTTTCTCTTGGCTTCCAACACCCGCTCTCTCTCCAACCTCTCTTGCTGAAGAGCCCGTTCTTTCTCTATCCGTTCTTTCTCCTTGGCTCTTTCTAGCTCTAAGGCCTTCTCAATCTCCTCTCGTTCACGCTTTTCCTTCTCCTCCCTCTCTCTCTGCAGACGTTCTTCCAAAGCTCTACGTCTCTCAAGCTCTCTCTGCCTTTCCATCTCTATCGCCCTCTCTTGCTCCTCCCTCTCTTTAGCCAAAGCCTCCTCCCGCTCCTGTCTCTCTTTTTCAAGAGCAAGCTCTCGCTGCAAGACCCTTTCTCTCTCTTCTCTCTCTAAAGCCAACTGTTGCTCAATCATCTCCTGTTCTTGCCTCTCCAGCTCAAGTGCCTTTTGTCTTTCCAGCTCCATCACCCTTTCCCTCTCTCTTTCCTGGGCTGCAGCTGTTTTGCGTGCTCTCCCAGATTTTTGGATGTGGGCTGAATGTGTGCCTGGAATTATACTGGCAGACCCTAGACCATCTGGTGGCCCTTTGCCAGGAAACGCCATAAGTGAGGGTGAACCGCCATCTTGCCCATCACCTTTACCATCCGCACCGTGCCAACTTCCAGAAAAGGCACCCTCAGACTCCATTTTACGTGCCAGAAGGGTAAGAGGACCTGGCTTACGGTCAGCATGGCCACTTCTCTGTGGCTCTGGGCTGCTACTGCGGCTGCCGCTGCTGGAGGAGCCAGAGCTGGAAGAGCTTGGCGAGTGCCTGGCAACAGGGGGACTAGGTGGGCTCTGCTTTGGGGTGTCAGGTAAGGGAAATGATAATTCTGGAGGTGGGGATGGAGGTGGTGTTGGTTGGCGGAGCTGAGGTGACAAAAGGGAAGGAATGTGCTGCTGCTGAGGTTGTGGATGACGTGCTGCACCAGACCGTGCCGGACCGGAACGTGCTGGACCAGACCTTGCTGCACCAGACCGTGCTGCGGGTACTCTGGCTGGTTCTCTGAGGCTTCTTCTTGGAGCCCTGTTTCCCCAGTCTTCATCATCATCGCCATCTTCCTCACTGTCATCATCATCGCTTTCGCCTGCAACTTCACCGGAAGCCGAACCTCGTTCTGACCTCTGCTCTGAGGCAGGAGCTCGCATGGCCTTAGAGCCAGAAGCAGGGGGACTGGACACATCTGCCTCCTGACTCCTGTTTCCCTGTCCTGAATTAACTGAACCAAAGAATCCCTCTCCATCTGAGGACCCAGGTGGTCTGTGCTGCCCTGCTGGTGTGACTTCCTAAGAAGTAGCAAAATAAAAATTGATTAGGAAAATCATAATTAGCAAAATGATTCACAAAAGTTTTACATTCCCTTCAATGCATTAATGGTAGCGATTTGGTTTATACAGGCAAAATACCATATAACCAAACTAATGTAAACATTTCTGCTTATTAAATTAATTCAGTTTTTATAGTCACAATACCCAGTGAAATAGACTGCCTTTAAAATTGACTTGCCTGTCTACCTATCTGAAAGACTTTACAATGAGAACATTTAACAGGAACACAGCCAAGACACTAATACAATGTCTGGAGGAGCTGCAGAGATCAAAAGCTAAGGTTGAAGCATATGTCGGCTAAAGAGGAATTGTCTGTTTAGTCCACATGTGTAAATTACCTTTATGAAAAACAAAACATTGCTCAAAGAAGTGCCATTAAAAGTGTGCCATAAGTCAACAACGGAATCACAGAAAACCCATGGAGAAAGGTGTCCTGACTAGATGACACCAAAACAAACTTTTTCTGATGTGCAAAATTCTGTGTGCAAAAAAATAACATTGCACAGAAATCTGAGCACTCTGACTCTGGTGTGTGGTCATGTTATAATGTTACGCTTTTGTTTTTTTAGAAGGGAGGAAAAAAAAGCGTGTCAGATTTAATAAAATAGTCCATAGAACTTACTATAAAGAAAATTTGTAAGGCTGCAAAAAAAGAAATCAAAACTAGGGTCAAAGTTCCCATTCTAACAGAACAACAAGTCTTTATATACAATAGAGCTGCTACTAATAATTACTTTGTAAATTATTTCATCTGTTGATTATTCTTCTGAGATTAATCGATTAATAATCGATAGCCAATGAATCTTTAAAGAAGACTTTTTATGAAATTAAACCAGGTAAATCTCGAACTTTCCCACTTGTGGAGCTCTAGATAGAGCAAACTGACAGACATTTTTTTTCTCCACACAATCTTGATATAATTGCTGCTCTAAGTGGGTTGCCCTGTCAGCTATAGGTATATTTTAGAGAGACTATACTTCAGTTGACAATTAATCAATTACTAAATTGGTTGACAATAATTTCAATAATCAATAAATCACCATTAATCTGATTAGTTGTTTTAGCCAAGAAACACCAAGCACCAACACCAAGAAATACAATTAAAAGGTTTTGGTGAAAGCATGTGTGTGGGAATGACCCAGTCAATAGTCACATCTTAATCTAATTATGATATACGTAGCAAGACTTTAAATGTGTGATGTTCAAAGACTCTCTTCTTTTAATCTTACTCACTTTTAGCATAATCCAAATACCAGAAAAACAGGGGAAAATATCTACATCTGGAAGTACAATTCTCCGCAGTTACAGCAGCAAAAAGACATTCTTTAGAGCATTGACTCATACTTGTTGAATACAAATGAATACCAAACCTTTCAGTTTATAAGTGGGAAAAAACAAACCAAAAAAACCCAAAAAAAAAAACACATCCATATTTTTTTCAACTTTCCACAAAGAAGGTCAAAGTTGAAGATTATAATCTGGCAAAAATGCTAAACAGTTTAAGGTGCAGATTTATACGTGGCCCATTGACGTATCCCAAGGAAATGTTAAAACATTCTGCATGCATGAACTAACAACAACAACAAACATAACAAAAAAAAAAAACACATCCGAACCTGTGCAGGAGGAGGGCATGGCGTACTGTTGTTAACCTGTGTGTGGACCTCTTGCTCTGTTTACAAAAGGAAAATTACAATTTTTTTTTACAACAATCCAACAAAGTCCACAACAAATAACACTGATGGGATTTCCTACAGCTCTTACCATTTGTATCATGTGCTTCACGGGCCTCTCTCTCAAGACGCTGCCTCAGGAGCTCTTGCTGCTTGGCCAGATACTGTTTGATAAAACTGTTCTGGCTCATTTCCTCACCAATCTAAATATAGATATATTACAAGAGAAAAAAAGAGGAAAAAAATTTAGCAGGTGCAATCCTGCAGAGCCAACTGAATGAACCTTCACCAAAAATCTATGAAGAATTGTGTTAACACACATTCAGTTATTTATACATCAGACATTAGTACTTAAAAAGAATGTCTGTCTTTGAATTGAAAATAAAAGCATCTTTGAGGTTTACCTGAGAGTTAGGCTGCAGTCCAACATGTGGAGTAGAGGTTTTCTGCAAATTCTCCAGCATGAGAGCCTGTTAATGAGACAAGAATATTTATTATTAAGGGAGAAACATGGAGAGTACAACTCCCGGAAATTAAGTTACAGTATTTTGCTTTTAAACATTGTGTTGAATTACAACAAAACAATTTATGATTTTTTTTCATTCCATTTCTTTTCCTGTCTCGCTTATCCCAAACAGGGTCATGAGGGATGCTGGGCATCTCCAGCTGTCTAGGGGCGAGAGGCGGGGTACACCCTGGACAGGTCGCCAGTCCAACGCAGGGCAACGCAGAGACAAACAACCATTCACACCTAAGGAGACAAGCCAATTAACCTACCAGTCATGTTTTTGGACTGTGGGAGGAACCCGAAGTACCCAGAGAGAACCAACACATGATCAGGTAGAACATGCAAACTCAATGCAGAAAGACCCCGGCTGGAAATCAAATACAGAACCTTCTTGCTTCAAGGCAGCTGTGCTACCCACAGCACCACTAAGCAGCCCACCTCTTAATGAATTTTACCAGTATTAAAAAATTATATATAAACACGTAATTAATAAGCATGAAGCAAAGGAAAAACTTTTAGTATTGGAAATAAAAAAATCTGAAAAATTCGGCTATTCAATTACATCTGTGCATGAGTCTGTACTTATTAGAACCATATTTGTTTTGTTTTTTTACACTTTTATATCATTCAGAGTGTGTCTACCAGGACTGCATATAGTGAGACTGTGATTTTTTTAATTATTTCTCAGTCAGAATGGATGCAGAATAAGTCGTAAAACCGTCAACCAGATTCTCCAATGAAGATGAGTTTTATCAGGTTGTAAAACAGACCAGTAAAATATAGAGTCACCACAAAATACTTATTGCAGATTTACATAAATGGGCTTTGAGGAAAACAGTGATTCAGATCTACAAAAATCTAAGTCATCCTCTGCCATCGTCTTTTGGGCTGGTGACATTTGGTAGGGAACTAAGAGTCCGGTTAATAAAAACAGACCGGTATCAAAACTCAAACACTCCCTCTGCCATGACCATTCTGAAACAGGAATACTTTTAGTTAGTAACTGCTTAGATCATTGTGGGATACCCCTAATTTATCTAATCGCTTATTTATTTTAATGGTGTCTATGGAGCCCTTTTTTCTTTTTTTTTTTAAAGATAAAAGGTATTTCTCATAACTTTGCTTTCCTCCCACAGTCCAAGAACATGCCTGTAAGGTTAATTATCTTCTCTAAATTTAAATTAAAAGAGTGTGTGTGTGTGTGTGTGTGTGTGTGTGTGTGTGTGTGTGTGTGTGTGTGTGTGTGTGTGTGTGTGTGTGTGTGTGTGTGTGTGTGTGTGTGTGTGTGCATGCTTGTGTGTCTCCGTGTTGCCCTGCAACAGACTGGTGACCTGTCCAGGTTGTACCCGGCCTCTCGCCCACCACCACCAGGACCCTGACAAGATTAAGCAGGAGAAGACTGGTAAATGGATGGTATTTCTTAGATTTTATGTGCATTACATTTTGTTTGGATCCAAGAGAGGTGGCGAAAATTGGTGGATGAAGAGGATCAGCAAACTGGTAAAGTGAAAACTTCAACACAAAGTACTTGAAGTGTTGCTGAAGTTTTTGCATTACAATTAGGTATTTGTTTTTTCAGGGAATGCTGTTCTTTCAGCTATGGTTTTTAGAAACCACGGTTCTACTATCAAGCAGGTTTTACTCTGGGGATTATAAGTTCAGACAGATGTGTAGTGATTTTTATTTTTTATATCACTAAGCTTTCATTTAGAATAGTTTGGCATGGCTTTTCTCATCAAGCTTCCATTAATTTATATGCAATTTATGAGAGCAAATGATTTGCAGTTGTCCTATCAAGAGTTACTCCCACACTAACACAGTCACAATATGCATCCTAATGTTTGTGGGTGTGATTGTTAATTTCTCCCAGCATCTGTTGGGGTCGCAGCTTCAAAGCCAATGACTTAAAGAAGCTGAACAAGCTCAGAAAAAAGGACAGTTTTGTTCAGGGAAGCCCTTCACAATCTAGAGATTTTACAAAGAGGGATTTTTCATAAAATGAAGGACCCCATGAAGAGACGTGGGCATCCTCCTCAGTAGACTGTTAAGCAACAACAGTGTCAGTCAAAGGCTTCTCCATATCTGCAGTAAGGCAGGCTGCTACTGAAGATCCCTCTCCCCTAACTCCATCAAGATCTCCAACAACTCACTGAAGAAACCCCTAGTAGTTACGCAACAACATTTAGATAATTTTTTTATCTGAATTGACCTATCCTTGCATGCTCAGGCTAAGCAGAAGGCCATTTCTAAAACACTCCGTGTGAAGTTCAAAGCTGGTTGAATACTTATTTAATGACTTCTGAAGAAAGCTGGCTGCACTGAATTTTATTTCAGGCTTCCAGGCCAACAGTCATCAAACAGATCCCATCAAACATGAACATTTCGAAGTAAGCAGCTAAAAGATGTATGCAAAGGGTGGTGTATATCTACATCACATAAAATGCCACAAACATATAATTCCATTCTGAGAATATAATGTGAGAAAATTTTAAAAAGGCAATGGGGCCTAAATCTTTGCAAAACACTATGTAAGCAAATTATTTCATCCATCTTCTTAGTTTGTGATATGATATCTGTATATCTTTATTGATACAGTTTAGAGAAATTAAGCAAGCTTATTAAAAGTAAACAAGAGTAATTTAAGTCACGCCGGAGATTTCTTCCCGTTAAAAGAGTTTTTCCTCTCCACTGTCGCTTCAAGCATGCTTGGTTTGAGGGATTGCATCTGAGTCAATGAGTTGATGCAATCCACTGGTTTTCCTTAGATAGAAAACTTTTAATCTATTTGACTGTATGATCTGGTTAACTGTAAAGTGCCTTGAGATGACATGTGTCGTGAATTGGCGCTACAGAAATAAACTGAATTAAAATTGACACAGGGAGCTACTTAAAAAAATGACTAAAACTAAATAAGTCTAAGTTTTATATACAGCAGATTAATTAACTGCATGCATGCACAATTTAAGAAGCAAGCACAAGTTAGTAAATATTAATTAAAAATTTAATATAATGAAAAGTGTCGTTATTTTCTCCCTACCATTGTTCAAATAAAACCTTAATGTGTCAAAAACATTTACACAATGTAGCAACAAGTGATATAAAGTCCCAAAGGAACCTTAATACTTTGCCATATGAAATGTCAATAAGCTCTGTTGACATTTACCACTTCATATATAAACTAAAAAGTATATTTATCAAAAGGTTTCAAGCACTGACATTTGTGTACTACATTATTTACTACAGTTCAGCGGGCACAGCTTGCACAGACCGCGGTGTTTGACGGGACAGATAATGATCCCAAGTTTCATGGCGGAATCTGTCGAATACAAAGTGTCACAAACAAACATGACTGACAAAAAGAGGCCACCGCAGCTCACTATCTGGGTTTATTTTGCTGTGGACAGCAGTGTGTACACAGCAGCGAGCCAGCGGCTCAGGCCAGCGCTCATTTCGCTGCGTTAGCAACGGGAAGCTAACAGGCTAACAGCACAACAAACAGTTTAGGGCTAGCTAAGAAGTTAACTGAACTGCGCTGCAAGCTAAGAGACCGGTTGGGCTGGAGAAACAGAACTGCAATGAGCAAGTATACCAAACAAGCAATCAATAAACCTCTGAGGTCCGTTTGTAAAACTCCACTCCTCATCTAGGCAGTAACGACACTCAGTTATCGGCCCTCTCCAGAGAGCATCAGCCCGTCTCTGCGTTAACGCTAGCTCGGGATCCACCAGCGGAACCGCATTCTGCGGTAAAACCCTTACCCCTTTAAGTCTTTTGACGAGAGCATTCTTTTGTCCGCTTTTCGACAGCCCCCGCTCCTCCAGAGCCGCTTTAAGGTCTGCTACGCGGAGCGACTGGAGCGGTCTCCCGTCCAGCGTAACGTCTTCGAGATCCGCCATTTTCCGTTCCTCTAGTCAGTTCCCAGCGAGTACGCCGAGCACCGCCTTCCTCCACCCTGCGTCACGGCCTTCCACTTCCCGGTGGTGGAACAAATCGAGTTGCCCTGTTACGACGCGCCTTCGCCTTTCAGTTGCGGCTTCGCACTAGGTTTTACGGCTTCAGTGTTGCATTAAAGTCATACGGAAGAGGATTAGAGTCACTGAAAATAAAAAAAAAGTTAACTGATTTTTAAATTTTATTTCAGTATAAAAAAGTCAGAGTTCTGACTTTAATCTCAGAATTCTGAGAAAAACGTCAGAATCCTGAGAAAGTTAACTAATTTTAAAATTTTATTTCAGTATAATGAGAAATAAGTCAGAAGTCTGGCTTTAATCTTAGAATTCTGAGAAAAAAAGTCACAATTCTGAGAAAAATAATATGAATTCTGAAATTGAAGTCAGAATTCTGAGAAAAAAAGTCAAATTCTGATATTAAGTCAGAATTTGGAGAAAAAAAGTCAGAATTCTAAATTCTGAAAAGAAAAGTCAGAATTCTGAGATTAAAGTCAGAATTCTCAGAAAAAAAGTCAGAATTCTCAGAAAAAGTCAGAATTCTGAGATTAAAGTCAGAATTCGGAGGAAAAAAGTCAGAATTCTAAATTCTAAGAAAAAAGTCAGAATTATGAGGAAAAAGTCAGAATTCTGAGATTAAAGTCAGAATTCTCAGACAAAAAGTCAAAATTCTAAATTCTCAGAAAATAGTCAGAATTCTGAGATTAAAATTTCTGACTTTCTGACAGAATTCTGACTTTTTCCCCATAATAAATTTATTTAAAAGTAAAAAAAAAAACAGTTAACTTATTTTTAATTTTTTCACCGGCTCTAATCCTCTTCCATAATGTCAAATCGCCTATTAGATTAAAATATCAAAAATAATTTTATGATTGTTATGTATTTTCTCCAATCAGGAATACTCAGGTAAAGCCAAAACAGGAGAAAGGTATATAGCAGCTACTTAAGGGGTGAACTATGGTCCTGGTAGCCTCAATGAGAACTGTAACTCAAAAATGTCCATTTTAAGTTTTTGTACACACTACGGAAAGCTTACAGAGTTCGAAATACACATTTGAAACTTCAAGATAATTCCAATTTTTTGCTGCTCTTATGCTTAATTTGAGGACAATAAATCAGAAAATTGCTTGAATTATCTACAAGGTGAAAAGACTAGTACTCTCGGGCTGAGCAAGAAAAGGCAAAATTGAAACATTAAAACACCACCTAATCCTTCATAACTGTTTTGTCATTTTCTTTTTTATTCAATAACATAAAAAAAAATAAGTTATATATCATACAATCAATTTCATTCATGGAAATGTATCAGAAATGTATCAAAATGTATCAGAGTGGTTTTTAAGTAGCCTAATATATTTATTTTAATAGGACCGTATTTGAAATTAAAATATATATCTTACTGTACAAGATGTACTTGAATGCACCATGACGATTTATTGCCAGTGGCCGTAAAACGTCGAGTAAAAACGCAACAGCTTGAACGCGGTGGAATATTTGATGGAAACAGTTTTGGACACAACACCTCTTACAACTATAAACACTATCGATATGAAATAAATATAACAGATTACACAATTCAATAGCATGGATTCATATGTTTTCTATATCGTACATTCTCATTCGTGTTTTTAATCTTTTTAAAAATTAAAAACAACATCTTGCGCAAAAAGTGCGCAACTCCCCCCCCCCCCCCGAGGATCTGTTCTTGTAGACGGCTTCCGGTTTTCTGTGTATTTTCTGCAGCTACAGGATTACTGCCAAGCAGACGTTACTGTGCTGAAAATATGAGCAAAAATGACGTAGTTTAAGTTTGAAGAACGCCACGTTTCTTAATTAAACAGCTGCTGTTAAAAGATGCTCACTTTAAATCAGCGCCCCGGCGGTGCTTTTATTTAAGCTACATGTAAACAAAGCAGGGAGGTTTTTTTTTTTTTTTTCTGCCGCTCGCCTTTCAGACTTGTTAAGGAAACTTTTCCTGACTGAAATTACCTCCTCAGAAATGTCGTGGTTTAGTCAGGTCAGTCAGGGTCCATACCAGCAGCAGGCCGCTGACGGCCAACGACTTACAGCCTCCAACATCCTCAGTAGTCCCTTTAATCCCACAAGTATTCCAGCAGGATCAGCGATCCAGAGCATCGGCGGGGCAGGCCTGTCCTCCACGGGCCCGTTTGACCTCCCATCGGTTCCTCCCGGTGCAGCAAGTCCTCCCAGCCTGGAGAAGCTGTCCTGTTCTGGCCGTGACAGACAACCGGAGCCCATCTCCTATGTGACCTTCCAGGAGCAGCGCTGCGTCCTGAGCTGGTTCCAAGGCTGGAATGCTCCCCAGAAGGAGAGGTTCCTGCAGGATCTCGTCGGGAAAGCCGTGCCGGGGAAAGTGTGCACCCTCCTAGACTCACTCAGTACCCTTCAGGTAATCCTATAACTGTCCCAGGTCTACACCAGTGGTGTCAAAACTACACACATTTGTTACTCGACCCTTTATAGGGCAAGTTACCATCTTTGATCACTTGTAGACCCCTTATAAATGGAGTCCCCCCGTCCCTTAGTGAAATCTAGAAGCACTAGATCTATATCCAGCCATTCAGCAAAGATCCTGCTACATGGCTGCACATCTTATTTTGGTATTTGCCCAACTAGATGAACCCTTGGATGATATATTACCTAATATAAATTAAATTTGAAGAAAAAAAGTTAAGTCAAGAAAAAAAAGGTAAAAAGCTCATCAATCAATCAATCAATCAAATTTATTTGTATAGCCCTTTACAATAGCCAAATGGTACCCTGAGTACTTTACAACAAAACCATAAAACAACACATAACACCCTAGTCAGAATTAAATGCTAATTTAAAAAAAAGTGGGTCTTTAGCTTTTAAAAAAAAAAAAGGCTATTGTCAGTAGTGGTGTGGATGTCAGGGGGTAGTTTGTTCCACAGTCTGGGAGCAGCGATGGCAAAAGAACGATCGCCCCACTGTTTGAGTCTTTACCTATGGACCTCTAACAGAAGCTGACCCAAGGAGCGCAAAGCTTTGTCACAATTGCGAAAACTTAAAATCTCAGACAAGTAAGAGGGGGCCAAGCCATGAATGGCGTTAAAAACAAACAGCAGAAGTTTAAAATCAATTCTAAAACGGACTGGAAGCCTGTGGAGTCACGACAGCACAGGGGTAATGTGTTCATATCTGGACGTGCTTGTTAAAAATCGGGCAATCATTGAAAAGTTTAAAAGTTAACAATTACATTTAGGTTTGATGCCTCTTAGCAAGGGTGTAAATATCGGTAAGCGGAGCCTGCAGTTGCATAGGGGCTTCTGACCTCTTAGGGGCCCCGTCATGAACTCCTGGTAGCCCCCCTGCGCAATTGTGGACTAGGTCGTACGTATCTTTGCAAATGTAATGGTGCGAAAAATTTCTCTTACACCCTTCTGTTCCTAATTTAGCTGAGCGGACCTTATTTATACCCCAACACATGCCAGATTTCAACATGATGGTGAGGCGTTCAAACACAACACCAATAGCAAAGCAGACAGTGCTTTTAATTACTATGTTAATAACTGAGTATAGTTCATTAGACAGTTGGTAAAAAAAATACACTCATATAATATGTTTCAAACCGCAATAAAGATATTAAAAGAACGACGTATTTGAGTTATTTTTTGGGGGGTTTTTTACGCTACAACTTGGAATTATGGGTAATCCAGATTAGATTGAAACCATAACCATGACGTCACCTAATTAAATGGCTGCCAAGCCAGCTAGGTTTAAAACACAGGGTGGAGTAAATAACAGATGAACTGGTGTCAGGTGAACCGGGTGGTGTACTTCACATGGGGAGCACCCAGATAATGTTGCCTATTGTTGTGTCATTACGCCATTGCCTATAAGGCTATGCTGTACCAAAAAATGTGTTTCTCTCACTCTTAGAGTGTTTTTCATGAGTTTCTTATAAAAGCCCTTTTGTTATTTTTCTTAATATATTTGGGAAAACTGGCATTTCTTGTTATTACATTAACATTAATTTCTGCCATCAAAATATCCAGTTTTTTTATGTTACAAAGGTAATATTGTTCTTTTCCTGGTTTCCAATAACACTATTAGCAAGAACACTGGAAAAAATTTAAATTTAATCTTTCTTAAAATAAGTGCATTTGTTCTTGGATTGAGGAGGCAAAAGAGACACCTTGCCAATGGAACAAGACAATTTACATTTAAAATAAGAAGACACAACTTAATTGTCTTATTTCAAGTGCATGTTATCCAATTATCTTATTCTAAGAGCAAAAATACTCACTCCATTGGCAAACTATCTAATTTACCAACTAAAATTAAATGGTAAATACACCTAATTTAAGAAATTTGTACTTATATCTACATATTTTTTCAAGTGAAATTTTGATTTTCAAAGTATTTCACTGAGTGCCCTATAAAGGTTTAAGTAAAAGTATAGATACTGACTTTTCTTAAAATACTGGTTAAAGTTGAAGTATCAACTTTACCTCTTTACTTAAGTCAAAGTGAAAAAGGATGAGCTCCAAAAACTACTTAAAGTATAAAATATCCCTTAAAGAAAGAAAGCCAGATTCCACTATATAAATTGAAAGCTCAGTTTACGACTATTTCTAAAAATTCTTTGAGATAGGGCCAAGGATGAGGGAGGTCTTGTTGGTCTCCGTCTCCCCATACGCTCTCGCCTGTGTCTGACCTTTCTGACATTTCAGCATCTTGTACTCAATCTAACATTGTAGCATGGCAAAGACAATTCATGTTTGCAGTTTGAAGAACACCTGCTTGCTTCTAATGATTTCCTTTAGCTAACCAATGAGTGTTTGCGTTATATGACCCATCCCATTACACTAGTTTTCACTAGATGTGGATGGAGCCAATGATCTGCATTGGATGGAGCACATGACGTGAAATAAATATTTATAAACATTAAATCGAAGCCAAGAGTAACAAGTAACATTTGTTTTAAAAATGTAAGGAATAGAAAGTACAT